TTTCTATTCTGCCTCCCCAACCTCCTTCCCTGTCACTCTTCAGAGACCCCTCTCACAAGTCCCTTGTACAAGTAGAGGTGTAAAAACTAGTCAGCTTAGGGTCAGTCCCTCCAAAATTTCAAGGAATAGGAAGAGAAGAGTGAGGGGAATTTGATAGCAGCCTTCAATTTCCTGAAGGAAGGTTCCAAAGAGGATGGAGAGAGGCTGTTCTCAGTAGTGATGTATGGCAGAACAAGAAGCAATGGTCTCAAGTTACAGTAGGGGAGGTCTAGGTTCGATATTAAGAAAAACTATTATACTAAGAGGGCGGTGAAGTACTGGAATGGGTTACCTAGGGCGGTGGTAGAGTCTCCATTCCTAGAGGTTTTTAAGTCCAGTCTTGACAAAGCCCTGGTTGGGTTGATTTAGTTGGGATTGGTCTTGCTTTGGGCAGGGGGCTGGACTCAATGCTCTCCTGAGGTCTCTTCCAGCCCTAGGATTCTAGGATTCATACCCTGGACCACCCACCCTTCTGTATGCCTTTCTACCAACCCCCTTGCTCTCCGGGGTGATCAACAAGATTCACGCCGACTGAGCCACAGTGATTCTAATAGATTCTACTGACCAAGGCAACCGTAATTTCCCTACCTGAATCATCTATCAATTGCTCACCCAATTACCCTCCCCATCAGACCCTACTTGCTGACCCAACATCAAGGCAAAACACTCCACCCCAATCTGAGGGCTCTCAAACTCACAGCATAACTTCTTCATGGTTCTAAAATGAGGAACTTGCGTGTTCCAAGAGCGTGAAGCAGATCCTCTTGAATAGTTGGCGTTCCTCTCTGAGGTATACCTATCAAAACAAATGGAGACTATTTCAAGAGTGGTACGGTCAACGTTCGCTGCAACCAAATACTGTTCTGATATCTACCATAGTTGAATACCTGATGGACCTTAGGGACACAGTCCTCTCTATCCGCTCCATTCGCATCCACCTGTCCGCCATCACAGTTTTCTATGGGTCAGTGGATGGTCTCTCTCTCTCTTGCACATCCCATCACGAAGCGCTTCTTAGTAGGCTTGTGAAAGACAAATCCAAATTTACATCTGCTGGTGCCACCTTGGGATTTAAAACTAGTGCTCGGCACACTCACAAGAATACCTTTCAAATTACTAGCGACAGCCTCTCCACAACATCTAGCTATTAAAGTGGCCTTCATACTAGCTATAACCTCTGCCAGAAGGGTATATGAAATTGCAGCCCTAATGGCTCATCCACCATATACTGTTTTTACTAAGGACCTTAGAGCTCACCCAAAGTTCCTTCCTTAAGTTATATCAGACTTCCATATTAATGAGCCCATTTATTTACCCACCTATTTTCCAAAACCCCTCAGTTTCCCAAGTGAAGCGATTCTGCGTACTCTGGATGCTAGATGGGCCCTTGCATTCTACATAGATAGAACCAAGGAATTCAGGAAATCAGACAGACTTTTTATTGCTTTGTCTGGCCCCCACATATAGCCATCTCTGCGCAGCGTATCTCCAAGTAGATTGCCAATTGCATATACACCTCATACCATCTTCAGAGAAGGGAACCATCTCAGATTATCACCACGCATGCCAATCATGCGATGGCCACATTAACTGCTTTCCTGTATAATGTACCTGTATAGCAGTGACATGGTCTTAACGTCCAACTCTCACACAACACTACGCTCTGCAGCAGGGTCCCATACTTACCACCACTTTTGCCGATGCAGTCTTTGCCTCTTCTCACAATTGACTCCAAGACCCACCACCATGAGCATCGGGTACTGCTAGCTAGTCACCTGAGTGGAGCATCCACAGGGGCACCACTTGAAGGGGAAGATGACATTGTTCAGGAACATCACATTGTGCAGTAACGATGGTTCTTCAAGATGCACACATCTCAAAGAACCATTGTTACTGCACACTGTGACGATACTGCACAATGTCGTCTTCTCCTGCGAGTGGTGTCCCTGTGGATATCCACTACTCTTCTCTTCCTTCTTATTACTCTGAGTCTGTTAGAAGATTTCTGGTAGAAAAGGAATGGAGGGGAACCTGCATTACGTGTGCAGCTAATGGACGAAAACAGCATGAGTCGGCAACTGCGGATTTGCAACATGGGAAGGCACAGCTAGGCAAAAATCTCTGATCACCAGCGTGAGGACGCACCGAGACCTGTGTGGAGCACCCACAGGGATACGCATATCGAAGAACCATTGTTACTGCACAGGGTGAGTAACTTTTTCATTCCCCTTGTCCACATGCACGTTGACTTCCTCAAAGAATTCTAATAGATTGGTCAGGCATGATTTCCCTTTACATAAGCCATGTTGACTCATCCCGCCAAAATTATGTTCATTCACATGTCTGACAATTCTGATCTTTATTATAGTTTCAACCAGTACTGCCCAGTACTGAAGCTATCCTCCAGTCATTTGTTACCGATGCTGATTTAAGGGTAGTTTATAAACGATGGTTAGTAGTTCTGCAATTTCACATTTGAGTTCTGTTGATGTTACTGTTTAGTTTATCAGTTCATTCCAAAACCACTTCTCATGACACTTCAGATTGGGATGGTTCATCAGATTTGTCACCTAAAAAGAATGGCTCAGGTTTGGGAATCTCCCTCACATCCTCAGATGTGACGACCGATTCAAAGAATTCATTTAGTTTCACCACAATGGCATTATCGTCCTTGATCAGTCTGTTGGCATCTCGAGCATCCAGTAGCTTCACGGGTTGTTTAGCAGGCTTCCTGCTTCTGATGTACTTAAACATTTTGTTATTACTTTTTGAGTTTTTCAGTAGCTGTTCTGCAAATTCTTATTTAACCTTCATCATTATATTTTTACACTTCATTTGACAGAGTTTATGCTCCTTTCTATTTTCCTCACCAGGATTTAATTTCCACTTTTTAAACAATGCCTTTGTATCGCTCTGTTTCTTTTACTTGATTTTTAAGCAACAGTGGCATTTCTTTGGTTCTCTTACACAATAAGAGAGTGTGATGGGGAGAGCATACCTCAACTTGATGGGGGGGGGGCTAAGATTCTGTAGGTGGAGGAAGTACAGCCCCTTTTTCCAGAGTGGGACCGCCAGAGAGGAAGGAGCTCAGGCCAGAGCTCCTGAGCCTCCCCTGCAGCAGCAGCAGCAGCCAGCACAACCACAGTTGCCCCAGGAGCAGCGAACCAAGCAGCAGTCACTTCAGCCGCAGACCCAGTGACAGCCCGAACGTGGGAGGCCATTGAGGAGGGTGGGACCCTCTGAGCAATGCCCTGAGAGCTGAGCAGCACCAGGGATGGTAGGAAGTGGCCCAGGGCAGAGGATTGTCCCCCGGGAGCTCAGCACGCTTCGTCCGCTGAGCAGGCAGTGAGGAGATCCACTGCCAACAGGGCCCTGGCTGGGACCCGGTGGAGTGGGAGGGGCTACCTCCCCACCCCACAATGACCCTGCTCCCTAACAGTTTGGGGAGACCTACCTGTGGCTTAGGCCTTTAGGCCGGAGTAACTGTGAGAAAGAGGAGAGTGTTTGGAACTCAGTCTGCAGGGCCACATTTACCCTCGTTAGCAGGAACTGTACTTTGGGACGAGGCCCAGAGGGCCATATTTGTCCTGTGAAAAACGGACATTGACCCCAACTTTGGGGCATCCCGACCATTGAGGAGTCCAGCCCCTTTACAGAGAGTAATTAGATTCTCACATCTCTATGGAATGAGTTATTGGTATCTAACTAGAACCCAGTAGACAGATGCCCCCATCATAAAAGCTGCAATCCCACATGGCACTAATTGGCAGAGCCTTAATAGAGAGAATAAAATTGTATGGTTATTGGAAACTGTATTATGCTACGTTTTGCTCCTCTGAGGTAACTACTCTGCCTTCAGATTAAGGTAGATAGGCATTGCAGTATTGGGAAGTTTGAATGGCCACTTGCTGCTTTTATAGCTGCTCTCTGGAGACATAGGAGTTCATTTCCCATGGTGTCACGTTCCAACGGCACTAAATTTCATTCATTTTTTAAAAAAGTTGTTGGGTGAAGCTTTTTGATTTCATCGCCATTTTCATCTTAAAAAGAAAGAGGAAAAAAACAGAAAGTGCTTGTCTGACAGGTATCTTGTTGGTCCATAAATGCTCAGTGTTGTCACCTGTGTGTGTGCACTTTAAGGGTGTTTATGCCAGAAATCAGCCCTGCTGCCTTTGAGAAACCTCAAATGTGGAATTATTAACATGTGGATAAGTAGCAGAGTAAGTGTAACAATGTGCAATAAAAAGAAACCAAGCAGGGTTTTGCGAACCAGTCACAACTCATGGCTTGCAGTGAGGCAAATGTAAGTGTAACCTTGGCTTATATAACTGTTGTAGTTGACTGACTGGCAGATTGTCTAGTCATTCTTTGATTTGGCTATTTTTATATACTTGTAATTCATTTATCCTTTCCTTTCACCTTGAAAGAAAATGACTCTTGGGCTTTTTGCAGTGTTGTTGTTTTTTTTCCCCCTGGCAAGGAATTTTACATATATTCCAGAAGCATGCTTGTTTGGGCTCTTTTTACAAGCACTTTTAACCTTGGACAGAGACATACATATAAAGTATGCCTTTGTATCCCAGGGCTTTTGCCCATCATAGTGGGCTTTGTGCTTCAATTTGGAACGGAGAAGAAAAGGAGACAAGTTTGTTCCTGGTTGGGTATGTTGAGAGAGTATCAGGAATGAGACTGTCAAGTCAAGATCTGATTGACTGAAAAGCAAAAGTCACAACCTTGCCCACTTTGGGGCAATAGGCAGAGCTTTACTAGCAAGGTGTTCCATTTTCTGACACTACCTCCTGCCAGCATTGGCAGCTCATGGGGATGAAGGGACGCAGATTTTCAGTGAAAATGGACCATCCTTTCAAAGGAAAACATTAAACTATTGCCAAATCAGAACATTTCTGTAAACTTAAAAAGAAATGTTAACTTCTCTGATTTCAGTTTTACATTTCACAGCCTTAAACCCTGATCCTGCAAAAGGACCTGCACGGATGGGTCTTTCCAAGATGGAGCCCCAGTTTGTAGCATGATGCACAGAAACCTGAGTGAGTGTAAGACTGGTACAGTCATCTATGATTCAGTGCAAAGTATGAAGATGCAGCAAAGTGAAGAGAAGCTGATTTTAATTAATGGAGAATGGTATATGTTATGTTATAATTAGGACCTTACCTAATTCACAGCCATGAAAAACACATCACAGGCCATGAAAACTGGTCTCCCCCTTGTGAAATCTGGTCTCTTCTGTGATTTCACAGGGGAGACCTGTGTTTCTCAGGTTGTGGGTCCTGACCCAAAAAGGAGTTGTGGGGCAGTTACAAGGTTCTTTTGTAATGTTAATACCATATCTTGGTTCAATACATACTCGATGCCACGAATCAAGTAATTGCTCAAGCGGTTAAGGGGAGCCAAATTTCAATCAACAATAGACTTAACAAAAGGGTATTGGCAAATAGCTTTGCTTAACTCCTGGACACAGACTGCCTTCATCACCCTACATGGCCTTTACCAATTTGTCACAATGCTGTTTGAGCTACATGGAGCATCTGCCACCTTCCAAAGGCTAATGAATAAAGTGCAGTAGCCTACATAGCTAGGGTTGCCAGATGGTTGAAACAAAAATACAAGGGGATTGCTTAAAAAAAGAGGACTCCAAGGACTTAAGCCAAAAAAACAAATTAAAATAAAACAGCATTAAAACAGCATGTCCCCTTTAAGAGTGAGTGCAGGGATTGGAACAGGGTAGCGGTTGAGCACTAAGACCCAACCTTGTTCGGCAGTAGTGTTTGTAGGGTTGCCAGGTGCCCGGCATTTTCACCTCCAGGCCAGGGAAAAAATCCGAAAATACCAGACATTTTAGGTGTCCGGTATTCTCTGATTTTTTTACCGGACAGGAGGCGAAAATACTGGACTGTCTGGGTGAATACCGGACACCTGGCAACCCTATACATAGCAACAGGGTAGATCTCCTTCAACACCTCCATCATGTCCCCTAAGCTCTACAAGCAGGTAGGCTTACTGCCAACCCAGTAAAATGCCACTTCAGGCAAGAGGACGTAACCTATCTCAGGTACGTGGTGGGAGGTGGTAAGCTGTGACATGACTTGCACCTTATCAATCAGTATCGGAGATGCCAACCCTGAGGACAGAGAAGCAAGGGCATCAGATTTTAGGTTATCATCGATGTTTCATTCCTGGTTTTGCTACAATCACAGCCCCTTTTTCAAGCCTGACTAAAACTAACACCCTTGATAAGTCCAATGTATGGATCGGTACAATGAGACCTTCCAGACCCTCAAGACTAACACAAAAACTGTCCTCATACATCCAGATTTCACAAAAGACTTTGTGCTTCAAACTGATGCCTCAGGACTAGGGTTGGGGGCTGTTCTGTCCCACGAGGTTGATGGAGGAGAACACACCCCATTCTATTTTTGAGCTGTAAATTATTCCCTGGGGAGAGGCAGTACTCAAACATTGAGAAGGAGGTTCTAGTAGTAAAATGGACTCTTAATGCCCTATGTTACTACCTGCTCAGAGCTACCTTTAAGCTGATCACTGATCACATACCCCTTCAATGGCTGCAAAGTTGAAATATATCAACCCCCAGATCATGCAGTGGTACCTGTCCCCTTAGCCCTATGACTTCCGTGAGCTAAATCATTCAATCTGCATTGTTGATTTCTTCTCTGGGCTGGGAGAGGAGGAACTCTTAAGGGGGAGGGTATGTCATGGGGTGAGCATACCCCATACTAGGGCAGAGTAAATCCTGCCCCTCCAGCCGTACCGAGCATGCTCACCGTGCAAGACCAGTATAAAAAGAAACAGCTCAATCTAGGAGAGATACTGGTTGTGTTTTGGAAGCTCCTGCTGAGAACAGACTCTCCCAGCTGCTGCTCCAGGTTCCCCACAGTGACCAGAAAAAGCCTCCACAGCCAATGGAGCACCAGGGAGTAGCAGTGGGACTAACTCTCATGCTTAAAGTTAAGCATGTGCATAAGTACTTGTCTGGTTTAGAACTAGAATGCTCAGCGCCTTCCAAAACTGTCTCCTTGGGCTGTGGGAGTCAGGGAGAGGACTCAGCTGCCACAAAATCATGTTTCTTCTGCTACTGTGCTCTAGAAAAATTTCTGTAGGCTTCAGAGTGATTGGTAGGCATTCCCTTCTGGCCAAAATGAGAGTACTGTGTTATCACATACTTTGTACATGGGATTCTGAACTAGAATGCTCAGCGCCTTCCAAAACTGTCTCCTTGGGCTGTGGGAGTCAGGGAGAGGACTCAGCTGCCACAAAATCATGTTTCTTCTGCTACTGTGCTCTAGAAAAATTTCTGTAGGCTTCAGAGTGATTGGTAGGCATTCCCTTCTGGCCAAAATGAGAGTACTGTGTTATCACATACTTTGTACATGGGATTCTCACCTCCAATTACCATTACAAAGAAAACATGAGTACAAGCGTATATTTCTCTGTAGCAATTACCCAAATTGTTCCTCTTCATATCCTATTCCTTTCCTCTCCTTTCTAATTTATGAGTATCCTGTCATGCCAGTGGCCTCAGCAAGAGTTTTAGATGTTGCAAAATGTATCTATTTATTTGAGCTTTGGGGAAGGAAGAGCATGAAGGGGGCTGATGTCTGAGAGACAGTGGAGCAGTTTTGAAGGACTTCTGTTGTGAGATCAGTTCTTGTGGGGGCTGTTGATGGATTTATGTCAAAGGCAGGTGTTAGACCGGTGCTTGGTGTTTTTGTTTTTTGTTCTTAAAACCCAAACATGCCACCCACAAAACAACTAATTATTTCATGAGGATTTTTTTTCATATATTGAAGTTATTGGCACAGATCCTTAGTGCAACTTGACAGCTTCATTAATCTCAGTGGAGTTCTCAGTTTACACTCGATGAGGATCTGCAGCACCATCCCAAGGAAGTGCAGAGCCTAGGACAACTCCTGACCCCATTCCACCCTTTCCCCCAAGGTACTTCCCCAGAGCAACAAGAGCCTAGTCTCCTGTCATCTGTAATTCTTTGGTCTAATGTTGGTTGTTGGATTTAGGGTGCGGACACAAGGTGGTTCTGACAGCCTGTGAGATACAATCAGACTCTTTGATCTGATGGTCCCTACTAACCTTACTGTATGATTATGACTAGTGTAGGGCAGGAGACAATCAGACAGTATGAGCATCAATTAATGGATAATGGGAATGCACTTCAGTCTCAGAAGAGCAACTTTGCAATATTCTACCCATTCTCCTCACCAGGTTGAGTAAAACATTTTAAAAAAATCCTCATGATAAAGGGTCAGTCAATAAATTCTGTACAAGGGTTGGTAAGTGTACATGTTAATTTTACAAAACTGCAGCCTCAAGAATAATCTGTGGTCTCCATTGTTGATCAGAAGCAACCAATGACACCTGACTTCCATATGAATTGGAAGAAATTGGTTTTGGAAATACAGACTCTGACTATAATCAGAAATACTGTTTGAACCTTTAAAATCCAGGACACTCTGGCTCAGCCACAGGACCATGGATATTGCTGGACCAGAGAACCGTGGCTGGCCAGCGTCAGCTGGACCGCCTGGGCTGAGCTGGCGGCCAGGAGCACAGCCCCGGTGGGGGCTGGCACAGTGGGGAGGGCAGCCCTGGCCAGGACTGGAGTCAGTGGAGCTGGCAGCTGGCCATCCCCTCATCCAGGTCATTAATAAAGATGTTAACAAAACCAGCTCTAAAACCAACTGTTACGACACTCCACCCGATACTGACTGCCAACCAGACATCGAGCCATTGATCACTACCCGTTGAACCTTACAATCTAGCCAGCTTTCTATCCACCTTACAGTCCATTTATCCAACCCATACTTCCTTAACTTGCTGGCAAGAATACTGTTGGAGACCACACTAAGGGTATGTCTAGACTGCATCCCTCTGTCAGCAGAGGGATGCAGATTAGGCAGGTCGACATTGCAAATGAGGCAGGGATTTAAATATCCTGTGCCTAATCTGCATAAAAATGGCCGCCACATTTTGCTGACTCATCACTTTGTCGATTAAAAAGTGGCAATCTAGAGGGGGATCTGTAGAGAAAGAAAGCCTTTTTCTACCGATCCTGTAAACCTTGCAGGAGGCATAAGAGATCTGATGAAAAAGGCTTCTTCCTCGACAGATCCCCCTCTAGACTGCCGCTTTTACCGACAAAGTGCTGAGTCAGCAAAATGTGGTGGCCATTGTTATGCAGATTAGGTGCGGGATATTTAAATCTCTGCTTCATTTGCAATGTCGACCTGCCTAATCTGCATCCCTCTGCCGACAGAGGGATGCAGTCTAGACATACCCTAAAAGCTTTGCTAACGTCAAGGTATATCACATCCACCAACTTCCCCATGTCCACAGAGTCGTTTACCTTGTCATAGAAGGCAGTCAGGTTGGTCAGGCATAACTTGCCCTTGGTGAATCCATGTTGATTATACCTGATCACTTTCCCCTCTTCCAAGTGCTTCAAAATGCATTCCTTGAGGATCCCCTCCATTATTTTTCTAGGGACTGACATGAGGCCGACTGATCTATAGTTCCCTGGATCAAAGATAATGGCCAAAGACTCTTCAATGACAATAGTCAACTCCCTCAGCACCCTCAGATGCATTAAATCCGGACCCATGAGTTTGTGTGTGTCTGTCTTTTCTAAATAGTTCTTATCCTGTTCTTTCTCCACAGAGGGCTGCCCACCTCCTTCACATACTGTGTTACCTACTGTAGCCTAGGAGGTGAGCTTCTCTGTGAAGACAGAAGCAAAAAAAGCATTGAGTACTTCAGCTTTTTCCCACATCATCTGTCACTAGGTTACCTCCCTCATCCAGTAAGACAGTCTGACACACATCTCACAAATAAATCCCTGTAGGTGTGTCACCAGCCCATCTTGCCAGTGCACATTGTCCCTTCCAGGATTAATGTCTACATCTCAGCACTAATAACTGTTGTATTCCTATGTGCATAAGGGAAATGGGGTTTCAAAGACTACTAGCTAACAGTTTAGCTTTGCTTTTAGTGTGTAACC